TTCTGGCAAACAGAGGCTAGGGACACCATCCCTGCCCATCCTGGCTAATAGCCATTGATGGACCTATCCTCCATGAACTTATCTAGTTCTTTTTTGAAGTTGTATTGCAACCGTGAAATATTTTCCATACAGATGTTGGACACTTCCTTAATGAAGATCTACCGTATTTCAAAGGTTGTCATTTAAACCAGCCCAGTTTTCCACATTGTCTCATTGTATGGATGTCTGAAATCTCTCCTTTTAGAGCTATCTGTTCCAGCTGCTGCAGGGTGTGAACTTCTGTCATTCGCACAGAGTCATTCATAGAGACTTAAAGCCTCAGAATTTGCTTATCAACGAAGTGGGAGCCATCAAACTGGCAGATTTTGGTCTGGCTAGAGCCTTCGGGGTTCCACTGCGCACTTACACTCACGAGGTAATGGCTGTGTCCCATCTGATCTAAGGTGCCTTCACCTGGGTATCTTAGTGCCAATCTCGCTCTCTGGTTTATCTCATCTGAATTATTTGACTCCTATGAAAAATAATGGTTTCAGAGGGGTAGCCGTGTTAGTCTGTATCAACAAAAACAACAAGGAGTCCTTGTGGGTTAGTCTCTAAAGTGTTACAAGAACTCCTCGTTTTTATGAAAAATAATGTAATCTATGAATTTCTAATATGCCCATCACTGTAAAATCTGTGTATCGGGCACTACAGTGGCCTGCACTGTTGATTAGATGCCACTTCCTGTGTGGTTGGAGGGGGCATAGATGGATGTTGTACATAAAGAATCTTTCCAAGCTGGACACAGCAGGAACTGTCCCTTGCTAAGAGCAGAGAACTGTGTGTACCTGCCAAGGGAAACTAAACTAAAGAAGGGGTAGTCAATAGGTGGACCGTGGGCCAAGTCTGGACCACTAGATGCTTTTGAACAGACCCCGAAATTTTATTTACTTATCATTGGGTTTTTTTTTAATTTTCTTCTCTAGTCTGGACCTTGACAAAAAATTGTCTACCCCTGCACTAATGCTTTTGTTTTGGTTTCTTGTAGGTGGTAACCTTATGGTACCGGGCCCCCGAAATCTTGCTGGGATGTAAATACTACTCGACTGCAGTGGATGTCTGGAGCATTGGCTGTATCTTTGCAGAAATGGTAGAATAGGTTTAACTATTTTCTAAGCAAATGGTCCCTTCTTTTTAACATGACATTCATGCTATTCAGGCTCACGCTTATCCATTTCTTACCATGGTCCTGGATGGCACTGGGAATACACCACGGAACAGGCAGCTAGGAAGTTGGCAGCTTCTTAATTGTGCATTCAGAGTAAAATTCACTCCCCGCAGGCAGGGCCCAGCACAACAACTAGCCACCACTTACAGCCTGTTTCTCTCTATATGCATGCTTAAATCTTCCAAAAATGGCCCTCTGCATCAGGGGGAAATTAACCTGGGCTGGCCAAAATGGGACGTATGGTCACAAGAGTCCCTTTTTTAAGCCCTGTCCTGGCCGTCCCAATATTTTTGGCAAAACTGGGCATTTGTCCCCTTTGCTCTTGCTAAGAACAAAGGGGACAAATGCCTAGTTTTGCCAAAAAAGTGGGGTGCGACCCCTAGCGGGGTGCAGAGGAACATGCAGGGGGAGAGCAGCAACGCAAGCCCTGCGTGGGAGGGCGGGCTCGGGGGAGCAGCTTGGACTGAGCCAGCCCCCTGTGGGTGGGCAGCAGGGGATCTTGGGCTGGCCCTGTACCTGGGCTAGAGGGGGGCTTTGGGTTGGCTCCACGCAGGTGGGCTCAGGCTGGCCCTGGGCTGGTGGCAGGGGGCGCTCAGGCCAGCCCCATGCATGGGGGCGAGAGGAGGGCCTCAGGCCGGCCCTTTGCAGTGACCCGTTTTCCCTTTGGGGAAATATGGCCACCCTATTTTAACCTCAGTGCTTGGCTAGCTGCTGCTAAGAGCTGGGTGCAGAAGAAGACTGCGTTACAGAACTCATGTCCACCTGCGCCTGAGGTTCTCACACTGTGGTCTGCAGAGAGCTGGCATGTCACCTCACACGCCAAAAAGTCTGGATTCCTTTAAAAGCAGCTTGAAACAAGGAGAAGACGGACCTAGCTGCCACCACTAGGGCCTGCTGCCACATTAGAGGGGCAGAAGCAGAGGATGCCCTCAGGGATCAGAGCCATCAATGGGGAGGGAGCTTGTGCAGCTGGACAAAATCTGCAAGGGGAGCGGAGAAGGGGAGCAGGTGTTTGTACATATATCAGAGAGAGGAACAGAGCCCGGGGTGGGGGTGGTGGAATGAAGAGGAGAGTCACTAAACACTTCCCTAGCGTTACTTTGCCATGGAAGGGTTGCCCTATATCGGAGATGAACGTTATTCTTATTAGGGAATAACGTGAAGGAAACTTAATGGCCTGGATCTGGTGCTTTGGTTGTTCCCAGGTGACAAGAAAAGCCCTGTTTCCGGGGGATTCTGAAATTGACCAGCTCTTCCGGATTTTCCGCACCCTGGGCACGCCCACCGAGGCAGCATGGCCGGGGGTGACCCAGCTTCCCGACTATAAAGGAAACTTTCCCAGGTGGGCGAGAAGAGAGATGAAGGAGATCGTTCCAAACTTGGATCGGGATGGGCGAGACTTACTGGCGGTGAGTTCTGAACAGGTGTTGGGGGGGTTCAGCTCTTGCCAATAGGGCAAAGGGGAGCACATGTTCAGCTGAAATGACAAATTGCAGGTCAAGTGGTGTGTGTGTTTTGCCTCACCCCTGAACTGTGCTCTTGTATTTTGGACCCGTTGGACACAAAGGTTCCCGCATGGGAGTAGGGATTAGTTCTACTGGGCTCCATGTACAAATCGCTGGAGGAAATTCTCTGGGTAAAATACTGTGCTATGTAGGCGGTTACACTATGATTGTAACAGTCTCTTTTGGCCGTAAACGCTATGAATCTTTTCTATTCAGGTTCCTGTAGCACATGGAGCTCTGTGGTATCTGAGCACCTAAAAAGATTCAGAGGGCCGGAGTAGTGGGGTGATTGCTGTTTTTCTCTTCTAACGTCCCTCCAATGTCTTCCACGCTGAAAAACGTACAAACTTGAGCTGTATGTGTGACAACTGCACCTGGAATGTTGTTCTTAACAACAGATTCCCAGCCCCATTCAGCATCAGAGCTAGTAACGTAGGTTGCGAAGTGCTACATAGTAGCTGTGGTGCAGGATGGGTGTATATTGATAAATCTCAATACACATTCATGCTGTAGTGTTTTTTCCCCTTAGTAAATAGAGTAAGAAAATCCTGCAGTCATGGAACAGCTGTTTAAAACTACACTTAGTAGAACCCTCTAGGAAACATAGGCTGGTCGAAGGGATTTCACCATTTACAGTGTTCCTTTGCCTGGGATTTTTTGATCCAAGCTGATGGGTTATTGGGCAGTGATTTATCGGGGTGAAGGAGTTGTGTACTATGAAGTAAAACTGCAGCAGCGTGGCCAGCGTGCTTGTCTGGAACAGACTCCTACCCTGCACATGCTCAGGGCACAAGGTGCCGGCTCTGATCCAACTCAGGCAAGGTCTATGACCGCAGCCCATAGAGGACTTTTTGGGGTGCCCTCCTTTTTCTAAATATTTGGGAAACCATGTGGCTTGGTGGTTGGCCACCACCCTGGGGACTAGCAGGTCTGGGTTCTGTACCAAGCCCTGCTACTCTATGTCCTTAGGTGAATCACATCTCTGGACCTCAGTTTCCACATCTGGAAAATGGGGATATCAATCTCTAGCTACTCAACTTGGATATTGCCACACCTGATTAAAGTCAGTAAAGCCCTCTTGGGCTGTCAGATAAAGGCACCATATAATAATTGGTTCTCTTTGGAGGCCAGAGTCTAGCAGAGGGGAAGGGGCACCGGCTTGAGCTATTTGAAAGCTTTTGCATTTGGTTCAATTACACATCCTGCTTTAAAAATAAAAACAAAAACCCAAATCCTCTTGGTTTTCTTTTGCAGCAATTGTTACTGTATGACCCCGACAGGCGCATTTCAGCTAAGGCAGCCCTCAACCACCAGTACTTCTTCTGGCAAAGCCCCCGTGACCCCAAAGACCAGCACATGCTGCAGAAACACTGCAGCTGAAAGGACCCAGTGCCTCTGGCCGCCTGTATTCATGATGCTGAGCTCTGTGCATCAGTGCATTTACCCTCTCCGGTGGCTGAGCAGGGAGGCTGGCTGGGGTTGAAATGCCTCCATAATACAAAGGAACTTGGAGGGAAGTGTTAGTTCTCATTTAGACAGAGTTGTTTGGATGCTCTCAGCCCATTGCTGGGGGTATCTGTTAGGGCCGTTAGAGCCTTCTTGAGGTAGTTGTTACATGTGATAGGGACAGGCCTGATGGCACCATCCATCAGCCTATAATACTGACTAGGGGACACTAAATTCTCACACTGGAGGGCAACTTCAGAATCCTTGGCTGGGAGTGTAGCGAAAGTGATGGCTGGTGCAGTGTAGCTTGTCTGTCCTTTCAGCACCCAGTCCTGGCTGTGGTTCAGATAAATCTCTTTGCAATGGGCTGTCAGCTTCCCTCCCAGCATCAGGCAGTGCTTGACCTAAAGCAGCGGGGAGAGTCTACTGCATACAGCCAGGAGCGTCGCTGTTTATTGCTATTAAAAAGAAGAGGGGCTGTTAGTATAAGACTTTGTGTTCAACTGTTTAAGAATTTTAATTCCTAGTTAAACAGCAAGTGAAAATATCTTAAGAATGATCTTCAGCGTGCGCGAAAGAGAAGCCAAAGGCTCCCGCTATGGCAACGTGTGAAGTCACACAGTTCGGGAGAACACGCCCTTTTGTTGTCCAAACGAAAAATGTTCAGTCACTTGGGTTGGCTTTGACAATATTTTACTGTTTAGCTTTTGAGTGATTTAGCACCAGTTTTTGATGCAGTTGTAGGACTTCTCTCCTCCAGTAAAGAAAATACATAGAATTTGTTCCTAAGTCTTGGTTGTTTATGTTATAGGCTGCTCAATTGTTTAGCCACCCCCTGGACCCGGGTAGTGATGGAATCTGACAATCTCTCATGTATGCCAAAACCTCGACCTGTGTCCACAGCACCGGCCTATCCAGCTGGTCCATTTCTTTATTACAGACCTTCTCTTTTCCCTTTGTCATCTTCTTCATTCTTTCTTCAGGTCAGAACTGTCAGATGCTGAGGCGTCAGATAGTGTTTTGTGGAATAATGGGCAGAGAACAAAGATATTGCTGCTACAGGGAGAAACTGAGTTTCTTTTAAACAAAAGCTGGTATGAGTTTGTTTTATTTTCTGAAATACTCTGAAGACAGGTGAGTTACTTTGTTCCATATTTTGTTTTCCCACCTGCCTTAAAAAGGGGGCTGTAGAGACTCTGATAAATGAATTAAACAGCATTACTCTATGGGGATCTATATCCTCTTTCTCCAGCTGTTGAAGGTAACTGTGGTCAAGTAGCAGTGGAACACTGAACCAGCAGCTCATCATTCCATTTGGGTACAATTTTGTACTCTCTTTTGCAATATCTCTCTGATTCATAACCGATATCCCTACACCTCTTTCAGCATTACTCTGGGGGGGGCTATATTGTCTTTCTTCAGCTGTTGAAGGTAACTGCGGTCATGTAGCCATGTCACACTAAACCATTGGTCTTTTCTTTCCCCGTACCAATCCATCTTGTACTTACAGTGCAGATTTGGAGGCTAGCAGGGATATCTAAACCCTCTCATTCCTATCATTGGATTTTAAAAATCCCAGAGAGACCAGGTAGGTGAGGTAATATCTTTTATTGGCCTAACAGAAGTTGGTGCAATAAAAGATATTGCCTCACCCACTTTGTCTCTCTAATGTCCTGGGACCAACATCGCTACAACACTGCAAATAAAACAACGCATTGTCAAAAGACCTCATGGAACAGCTGCCTTAGGAGAGTTAGGCAGGTCACAGTCAAGGGTTACTTTCAGATTTTCTCATTCCTAAGGAATGAACACTGCTAAATTCTCATTCATAGGGATTGGAACTAGCACGCCCTGGCTTGAAGTGGTTTCCATCATATCCAGAGTTTACAGTTTGGTTCAATGGCTCTCAGCACCCCCACTATACAAATTGTTCCAGTGCCCCGTCCTCAATGCCGTTCTCCTAGGAAAGCAGCAGCTAAGACGGTTGCAAAAATTGTTGGTGCAAGGTTGTATTTTAGTGACATTTTATATTCTAAGTGCTAAGTACTTGGAGAGGCAAAGTATTTCCTAGATATAGATGAATCGTGCCAAAAGAACTCTTTGCAGCTATTTATTCCAATTTTTAAATCAATTTGATTGGACAATGCTGGGTTTGTTTTTAAGTAGTACATGGGGAGTAGTACCTGTGTTCTCATCCAATCCTGGAGGAGAGACAATACCTTGTGACTAGGACCATGAGGTGTGGTGCATGAACTGTTCATTGCCGATTCTGAGCATCTTTGGTCAGGAAAGTGCACGGAAGTCAGTAGCGCGATTTGTACCTAGTCCTTCTAAGGGGACTGCAAGGTGAACATAGTACACCAGAGACTGATCAGCTTCCTGCCTCTAAACCATTTTTCCCATCCTATTACTCTGACAGTAAGTCAGAGGGAAAGTTATACAGAGCAATTAAGTATGCACTTAAGTTACAAAACTCTCAAACATTTAATTACACTGTGTTCCCCAAACTTTCATCAGCACTGAGGAGCAATTATTTAACATTTTTAGAGCAGTACCATGTCCCCTTAGTGAGCTGGGAAAGGGAGCAGCATAGGGGTGAATGGTGTTGCAGTTTTTTTAGCCCTTTCCGACAGATGATTAACTGAAAGGAAGGTTGACTCACCTGTCTAGGAAAGCTCAAAGGTTGCAGTACCGTTACACTGTCTGCAGAGGAGAACCATAGCTTCATGAGTTGCAAACCCTGGAGAAATACCCTAGAGTTGTTATACAGCTGCTGGAAGACAGGAGGCGGCTACCTGAGGCAGCTTTAGAGAGCGAGCTACTCTGTGATTGGCTGGCTTCAAGCCTGCTGGGAATCTGCAGGGCTATAAAAGCCAGTTAGCTGCTGCAGGTTAGAACAGGAGCTTGTGGGAGCTAGCGCTGACAGGCACTAGACCAGGAACCGGACTGAAAGCATGTAAGGCTAGTAACATTGAGATTCTAGTGTACGTCTTGTTTTCTTTGGTGTACCAATAAACTGCCTTAGTTCATGAGCTGAATGTCTGTCTGCCCCCTGTTCAAAAGACCCAGGCAACCATCACAGGAAATCATTAGTAAAACCTGACAAGCATCTGATTCCAACCCACAGATGATTAGAGAAGTTTAAAACATGCATTAATAGAATGCTGTTGGCCAATCAGCAGCGCTTCACCTGGCTTCCAGACCCTCGTTCTGCATGCTAGGCCACTTTTCCTCCCATCCAGCTGTTGCTTGGCCTTTGGAAAAGGCAGAATGATCTGCAGTTCCCATTGGTGGAAATTAGTTGATTGTTTCAAATTATTTTTGTAAGAACTAGATACAATACAGTCCCCAGGGAGAGGCTGTGCATGAGTGGTGGGGGAGGAAGAGAAGGAGCTTAGCTAAGAACGATCAATCCCCTGGCCGTATTGCCATCTCCTAGAAAACCTGGCAGTCTCCCGCACCCATTAGGGCCGGATACAAGCACTTTGATTTGGTTCTGAATCATGAAATGCAGAAGACGTGATCCTTTCATTTCAGCCGGGGCTGAGCATTGTAAAAAGGCACTTGGCCCAAGTCCCATTGACGTTCACTCCTCCGTGTCTAATTCCCGTAGCCACGTCTGGAAACGTTACGCTGGGTCTATAGTGCTAAGGTATATAGGGCCAGCTCCTCAAAAGGTATTAGGCACCTAAATGCCCAGGGGAGTTGGATGCCCACATACCTTTGAGGATCTGGGCCCTGGTGCTTAAGACAGGGCATGTTTAGACCTACACTGAAGGGTGAGTGGGGACATCCTCCATTTTCAAAGATAACACAGCAGCGGAGAGACACCTTCTAGTTTTATTGCATGCATAAGAATGAACAAACTTGGGAGCACATTAGCCCCTTGACACCCTCCCCCCACTTCAAGGTGACAGGAAGTCACACAGTTTAAACTACCACAAGCATATTTGTTGAATCAAAATCCCCTTTACTGTCCGAACCAGGCACAGACGCCCGTGCTAGAACCCTTTCACCCCGATGAATGCCTTGTCTTCCTCTGTTGCCCCAGTTATGGGGAAGCCAGATTAGCTCGCTAGAATAGTACGCAGACAGACCTGCTAGGCAGTCTGTTCATCTGAGAGTACCACCGTGGCTTAAGATCATGGTGGAATTGGAGGGGACATGGAGCGCGTCTTAGTGCCTGAATCGTGACACCATGGGAGAATAGCGCTCAGGGCGAGGAGACTGAAATCCCTCGGAGGTGGCTGGGAGCAGCAGCAGGCCGCTCAGAGGATCTTTCCGGCAACGAGTCATGGCTTCCTTGTAATTCATCTTTTCCTTGGTGACTGGGTCAACAAGATCCTTCTCGTAGTTGGGCTCATCCTGGAGCATCCTAGCCAGGTCGTCGCTAATCATGCCTGTCTGGGCTGCTTCCAACACTGGGATGCGACCGGTTTTCTTGGGATCAATGAGCCCCCCAGTCAGGTGTTGGACCTGTAGGTAGGGGAAGGCACTGTCCTTGGTCATCCATCCTTTCTGAACTGCCTCCCCGACAGACAGCCTCCTCTTGGTCACTGGGTCCTCTACACCTGTGAAAGCTTTCTGGGCGTTCAGCAGCCTCTGCATATAGGTGTTGTCGATCAGCCTTCTGTCTATGGCTTTGTGGACAGAATACCGATCCCGCGTGATGAGGTCTACGATCCCCCCTGTTGCAGCCTGGGCCTCCAACAGCTTTTGAGCGGTCATGGGATCCACCATCTTCTTGGTGACAGCAGTTCTTATGTTGCACTTGGTGTCGGTGGCGGTGTCGAACACTCCGGCAATGGGGAAGCTGTCATCGCAGAAGCTTTTCTGCAAGCTCGGAGGAAAGAAGCTCTGGGTCTGCTGCTGCATCGTCGGAGACGGAAGTGGAGACTTGGAGATGATGGAGCCAATGGACAAAGAGGAGGGAGGCTTGGATTCCCCTGCAACCAGCAGAGCAAACTCCGAGATTGGGATCTTGCCATCCCTGTACAGCTGGTACTCTTCTTTCGTAATCTTCCTAAACCTCAGGGCATCTTCGATGGAGTATTGTTTCCCACTCTTCCTGTCGAGCAGGACAGAAACATCCCCGTTGGGGCCCAAGGTAGTGATTTCCTCCCAGTCGCACTCTAGTTCTTGCAGCTGGATGTATTGGTTTCTGTCTATGATTCCTCTTTTGTAGGCCTCATAAGGAGACATATCCTTCCCCGTCTCTGGGTCCAAAATGGAGATCTTAGTGGAGAGATTAGTCTCTCTCATCTCGGTCTCGTGGTTCATTTCTTC